CCGGCTCCATCCATATACATGGCAATTTCGCTTAAGACCCTGAGCGATTCTTGTGTCGAAGGGCGGCATTCCGAAGCTGTCGAAATAGATTCCTCGTCCATTTGAACCGAGGTAAACGGGAACCCAGTGGCTTCCTGCTTGGTTGTGGTTATCGGTGTTGATGATGATGGCACAGGGCCGAGACCATGTCCAGGGGACACGGTCAGCAACGTAGACGCCTCCAATTGATGCATCGGTATGCGGTATTACCTTGAGGAGCTCAAGTGTATTCATAAGACGATGGCACGCAGAACAATTGTTGTGGCCTTGTGACCCGGGTAGAAAAGGTTTATGGTGTAACACCTGCTCGGTTGTTTGGACGCAACTAACGTAATTGTGTAGTGAACCTCTATTAAATAGTTTAGTATTCTTTTTCAGCCACTGTACTCGACAATAACTTGTCTTGTTGAGTCAATTTCCAACAAATTATCGTATTCAGGATATAACAATTTACATTTTGCTCTGTTGCTTTGTTGAGTCGTACTCCAATACGAACACTCCCACTCTTTACGAGATTCCAATGACCGGCAGAACTTGCAGATAAATCGGGAGTCAGGTCAAAGGCGAATAAAGAAAAGCCATCGGAATATGCTAGACGAGAAATGTTATTTCCATGGTCACTAAAATGCGTTCCAGTCCCCGGAAATAAGGTATTAAAAGCTTCCACATCTAGGCACTCGTCAGAGGTAAAACTCGGTTGCAGGGGTTTCGTAGGTACTTGGCGTCAATCGACATTCAGGCATAAAAAGTTGATTCCAAAATTCTGGAAGTTGAAGGGATTCTTCTTCCTCGCTCCATTGAAACTGGCATTGTCGGCAAATCCAAGTATAATTCTTTTAGGCAGTTGGCCTAAAATTGCGTTATGCAGACCAAAAGATTTAACCTCAACACGGGTCAAGGGATATTTTTCAGTTGTCTTTGCAAGCGTTTTAGCGTGAGCTATCAATATTTCAGGGCTGAGTTTCACGCGTCGAACAATTAATGAGGCCTCCACAATATTTACTTTATAATTAAGTGTAGTATCGTCCATGAGACAATACTCGTCCTTTGCTCGGATAAGACGAACGCGTAGTTCTACAGCGTTCATCAAAAATTTATCTTGATTGAAAACGTCACAATGCAAATGTCCCAGTAGATCAAACGGTCTTCCACCTTTCGTAAATACTCGTCGAGAGATTAGGCCTTTATTTTTTTTCACATCAGCGCCCACAACTGCAGCGGTATCCATAGTGCCAGAGGTATCAGTTGACCATAGAGTCATTCCAAGATGCCAGGACTTGGCATCTTCTCCATAGTTTAGCAACGATTCAATATATGCTCTATAGGCGTAGAGGTTATTTGGCGGCGTAACAACGTTTTGATTGAAATATACATCCACTTGGTTGAACATTGAATGCAAAAAATTATTCACAGGACCGACGGAATCCTCAACAGCAGCAGTGCCATCGGGTCTCAAAATTTTCGCTCGAATTTTTATCATAGTGTGTGCCAAATCGATGTATTCTTCTCCATGGCCTGGTACGATGAATTCGATTGGGGCGTCGTCCGATAAAGTACACACAGGATTATAATAAACAAATTGAGAATTTTCAATACTCGTCTGCGTCGGGGGTATAGTGAACAGATCGAGCTCCGATTTCACGCACTCGGAAGAGTGTGAATGTAGAAACGACATGATGATTAGTTGAAAATATCGCATAAATGGCGAGTCTTTCACTTGGGTTTATTTTTCTTCACTTTTTTTCCTTTTTTCTTATTTTTTGGAATATTTCTCTTCTTTTTATTCTTCCTCGTTTTGGATGTCTTGGCAGACCCGCGTCCAGTGACCTTATGAGATGCGAGGCGTTTACGCTTTCTTTTATATCCTGATCCACGCATCATGGACCCAATTGTTTCCTGTGCCTTCCTTTTTAATTTTAATCCCGACTCCGCTAGCCAATCCTCCAGCGCCACCTTTAAGGGTTTTCCGTTTGTCACTACATCGCCTACAACGTTAATTCCCGCGTTGAGAGCTTCTTTACCGACTGCTCGAGCTGCACTACCGAGGAAGGNATCCACGCATCATGGACCCAATTTTTTCCTGTGCCTTCCTTTTCAATTTTAATCCCGACTCCGCTAGCCGATCCTCCAGCGCCACCTTTAAGGGTTTTCCGTTTGTCACTACATCGCCTACAACGTTAATTCCCGCGTTGAGAGCTTCTTTACCGACTGCTCGAGCTGCACTACCGAGGAAGGGCAGAATTCGACGAAAGAAGCCCCCGAGGAAAGCCCCAATTCCATGGCCACGTTGATAAAGGCTCCCAACATAGACTCGTCCGAAATTATTGTATCCCTCCACTAACCCTCCACCAGCCTGGTTCGCGTAATATGCAATGTAAGGACTCATTTTGCTCGTTAATCAATTCTCTTGAAATGAAGTGTCACGTTCAAGGGTCCGTACTCGAATGGTATCATTTCACCACGATTGCACCTTATATCTATTTCAATTGTGCGAAATGAGTATCTCATCAACGAAATATAATGAGGATTTGAAAAAGTAGCACAGTGTGTGGCTCCATATGTATAACCAGAAGCATTGAATGGTACCACTCGTAAAAGAGATGACTGCACATCACCTGTACATAGGTTACACAAGGGTCACTATAGATGAACAAGCTTTCAGGTAAACCCCTGGCCAGACTGGCAGGTAGATATCCCTCACAATACGGTTTTGCGTTCGTGAAACTGTGCACGCGCCTCTCAATCTCCAACATATCAGCCAATTTATCCGAAAAGTTGTTGAGTATTCTACCCAACAAGGCTTTTCACAAAGCCTTGTTGGGTAGAATACTCAAATTTTATATGATCCTTCAAGGGTGCAAAGTTATTCATGAAACCCACGAGATCGGTCAGGTCCTTGAAAACCGCAGTAGGTAGAAAAAATCTTTGTGGTAGATTTCCTTTGCCCTTATTGTCTTTTCCGCTACTAACAAAGTTGATGGAGGCATCTCTCCTATCACGTATATGTAAAAAATTACAAGGAAACTGTATTTCACTCAGGCCCACAACCCATTCTCCTTCCAACTCAACTTGTTTCGGGAGTAATGTTGTATATTTTGATGCTGTATTATCGGGATGATAGTCCATGCTGCTGTTGCTTGGGAGTACCATATAAAATTCGTTCCTCTTCATTTTTTTCCAATGACGTGCAGCTCTGACGCAGGTATCCACGAATCAAATTTATCAAAATATCCCTCGCAATGAACAAGAATTTGTTTACTTTTTCCTTTTCCTTTAGAGCGTATGACACATTCAATTACGAATTCATCCTTGTCCGTTTATTTATTGACAAGCACCAACTCTGGCTCGTAATAAAATCCTTCAATTTGTTCATCAGCTAAATCTTTCAGCTCGTATATTGGTAATGATTGTTTGAGGACTGCTCTCGTTATTTGGAATATTTCTTTACTCCAATTAGTCTCATATCATTTTTCAAAGGTGCCTTTCGCTCGACTGATGCGCACATAGTCCCCAACTTTGTATTTAACGGTTTCTTTACGAGATTTCTCCGACTTGTACCGATTTTGTATATTACGCCATGCATATGGAGCATTATCAATATTAACAATCGCAGGTGCCATTTTTATTGATGAATGTCTTGAGTTGTTATAAGAGTCGACAATTTGTTCCAACACATCCATACATTTATATGTTCGACTATGTGTAAAGTAACGCCACATGCGCTCCTTCAATGTCCGATTGAAACGTTCCACGATTGCGGCTTTTATATCAGGATTACGCGCAACACGAAATTGAATTTTTTTATCAGAGAAAAATTTTTGGACACTGCTAGCCATAAATTCTTTTCCCTTGTCAGTTTGTATACGAACAGGCACACGACCACCGCTCCTTCCCATTGTACGTTTAAAGCCCTCGAGTACCTGCGGTGCCGACTTGTCCTTCAATGGTTCAACCCAGGCAAACTTGCTTAAAACGTTAATTACCACAAGTAAATATTATTATTATTATTATTATTATTATTATTATTATTATTATTTAATTAATGCTTGAGGATACAAAGTCCCATTGCATGGGGAGAGATTATACAGGCATAATTGGTATATACATTATGTGCATTATATGTAAGATTCACGCTGAAACATCGGTTTAATTCGTTAACAGTATTAATTTAGCATGTACAACTTATGACTCTAATAACAAAGTTATATGGCGGGTTTGCCTTTTCTAGTTAGACATTTTATAAAAAAGTTACCGAAGATTTTTAAGTCGTGGAAATTACAACTAGATAAAAATATAATTAGATGAAAGTCGGTCAATGGCGATATGGATAGCTTTGTCAAGAACTCAGCTCGGAGATCATTATATTTCTTACATTGGGTTACAAAATGCTCAAGGTTATCAGGTTCAATTTGGGTGCAATCTGAGCAGCTTTTCCCAGGTTCAAATTTAATTTTTTGCTTCGATAAGTAAAAGGTGCATTGGTAGATGTTGGCGAGTCTGATTTGTGCAAGGATTCTTTTTGCAAGGAGGGATAATTCTTGACAAAGGTAGAGGGTGGGGTAGTTGTCACTGGGGGGAATACGTGGAATATTGAGTTGGCAGAATTTCGACTCTTTCCATCGTTCGATATCTCTATTAATCAGGATGTTTTTGTATTTTTCAAATATTTCATGAGATCTTATTTTCCATGCATTCAAGTTAGTACAATTCCATAGATCTGTGGCATCTGTTATAATGAGAAAGTTGCGGAATTTCGCCGTCCAGTTATAGTTTTCATCGCAGCAGGGTAGATTTGCAAATTTTATCAGCTGCATAAGACAGATCTTGGGGAGGAAGGTTTCATGTTTACTCATCATCTTTATAAACCAGTCCCAAGTTAGTTTCATAATTTTATATTCTAATTGAATTATATTTAGTTCGAGACGGATTGCCCAACCGGGTGTGCACCTGGGTAAATATAGGAGTCTCTTAAAGAAATTCAATTGACTTTTCTCGGTGTCTACTCCATGCTGCAATCCCCACGCAGGGACAGCATAGAGGAGGGTAGAGGTAACTATGCTGTTGTACAGGGTGATGAGGGTCTCCCAGGCACTAGCACCCACTCGAGCAAGTCCGGAGACGGTTGCGCTGGTGGCAGCCTTCGCCTTGGCGATGGCGGCCAGAGCAACGGAAGCCCCCAGTGCAGTCCTACATAATGGGACTCCAAGATACATGTACTTATTAACTATTTCAATATGCGAGTCTTTATAGCTAGTAAATTTCTTTTCGATTTTTTTGGTTCTGCCTGCTTTTTTAAAGGTCATGATTTTCGTGTTTGAGACATTTACACAAAGGCCATTTGTATCACAGAACTCCGCAAGAACTCGTAATTTAATCTGCAGATCAATGTGCGATTCAGCGAGGATTACAGTATCGTCTGCATACAACATCATTAAAATGTCGTCTATTCCATTTATGTTTACACCTTTAAGCCCTTTGCTTCTGAAGAAAAGTTCGAAATCTGATATGCACAGGGAGAAGAGGAGAGAGCTAAGGGTTTCCCCCTGTAGCACCCCCTCTGTCACCTCAAATTCATCCGAAAAATTATTATCTGCTCTGACTCGAATTGTGGCCTGATCGAAGAGGGATTTGATCACTCTTATAAACTTGGAGCTGACTCTGATTTTTTGTAATTTCGCCCATAATAAGTCGTGAGGTATGGAGTCGAACGCACGGCGGAAGTCAACAAATATCGCATGGACTTCACGCCTCGGCAGACGAAGTTGGAGGTGGATCGCCGAGAGCAGGGTGAAGATTGCCTCGGCGCAACCCCTCCCCCTTCGAACACCAAATTGTGATCCCGGCAGGACATTGTTGCCCTCCGCCCAGCGCTCCAACCTGTTTTTTAATGTGTAGATGAAGAGCTTGGTTATGTGATTCACTAATGCTATGCCCCTGTAGTTGGCTGGATCGTTATGGTCACGTTTTTTTTAAATCATGGAGAGGGTAACTTTTGCCCAGTCGGAAGGACAGGTCACAGTTGCCAGGATGATGTTGAATAAACGAAGGATACAGTCCAGCCAGCTATCTGGTAGAGCTTTATAAAATTCGTTGGAGATCTGGTCCGGACCAGTGGCTTTGCCATTCTTCAATTTGATCAGGACTGATTTTAGCTCGAACATGGTTACAGACGATTCAAGTTCTTCATTGGAATTGATTGTAGGGATAAATTCAGGCGGAAATTTTACTGGGTATACATTTTTATAAAAATCATTCCACACATCGACAGCGGGGGATTTAACAGAAGGAGGTTTCGGTTTCATAAGTTTAACCGCTTTTCAGAATTCTCGCTGGTCTTTGACATTATTAAAGGCTGATGTTATTTTATCTCTAAATTCATTTTGTTTGTACTTTTTGACTGCTTTGTATTTACGTTTACAGATATGATAAGTAGTGTTATATTCGGGATCAAATTTGGAGCGTATCCATTTATTTAGGGCTTGATTCGGTTGTTTCTTCAGCGATTTACAATCATGATCGAACCACGGCTTATTGGCATCAGGAAGAGCAGGTTTTTCAGAGCGTACCCTGATATCTTTGACCAGCCCGATTTTTTCAGAGGCTTCTAGGATAGCTAGGGAAAGTGCCTGAGAGATTTCGGTGGGGGAGGAGGACATGAGGGAACTTGGGAGCAATTCAGATGAAATCATCTCAGTTGCAAAATTTTGAGCAATGCTTGGAAGGGCTGGGTCCCACTTTAAAGCTTTACGATTCTCTAAGGGAAGGGGAACTAGTGGAGGGGGAGATTGTGGAGAGGGATCGTGAGAGGAAGTTGACAGGTCTAGAATAACTGGAAAGTGGTCAGATCCGAAATGTTCATGTAGCACTTTGAGATCCTTTATAAAATTAACATTTGTCGATCTGACCCACACCAGGTCTATTACACTACAATCTTTCATGCCAGAGTAGGTGAAATGAGCGGGTCTATCTCCTGTGACTCTACCATTGATTAAAACGAAACCATTTGAATTCATGAAATTCGTTAATGGGATAGCCCTCTCATTCAACCTGCAGTCATGATTGAACACATCAGCATAAAGACGGGTCTCCTCAAAAATTTCCTCATCAACAAGGTCAAGCGTGCCCACCCTAGTATTAAAATCGCCCCCGATTATAAGTAAATCAATCGAGTCATCATACTCTCAAAGCTATCCAAAAGAGTTTGCAAGTTAGTTAGGAATTGTTTAAGGTCTGCACTGGGTTTGATATATACATTACCGGATACAATATTGACATTATTATGAGCTAGTCTTGTGAAGATCCACTGGTCACACGAGCTGATGATCTCCATCGGTATTTTGGAAAAGGCAGAAAGGCCCCCACTTGGTCGACCCATCACAGAGTCCTTGGTCGCGTTCACCCAGGCATTGTTGAGATTGTGTAGGCAGCTAGGCAGGAATCGAGGGGTGTCAGTACACCATGTTTCGGAGATGTACAGGAGATCATGTTCTGGCAGATTTTGAACTTCAGCCAAATTACCGAGGCCGTGGATATTTCAGAAGGCAATGATAAAATTATGGTTTAATCGTTTTTTGGAAAGACCGACTGTCTGGAGTTGGGTTTATCTCTGGGCTTAGTGGCCACTACTAGCTTTTCCTCAACTTCATCCCAATTGTAAACAGTGCCATCGATTGAGAGCCACTTGTAGCCAGTTTTAACTGTGTTACCCCTTGCACGGAATTCCTTGGCTGCATCACGAAGTTTCTTGGCAGAGAGATGTTCTCTATCAGAGAAGTCTGGCTCGATGTAAATTTCTTTCCAAATTAACTGGTCCCTCAAGGATCTTTTCCCACTTAGGATTAATTGCTTCGTGGTCCAGGAGCCCAAGTGAACGATGATCAGTCCAGAATTTATTCTACGTATCGAGATAAATCTAGCATCAACCACTTTATCTTGTAGGCCGAAGGCCTGTCTTAAAAAGTCATTGGCATCTGTCCTCACGTTTGCTGGAGACGACTTCAGCCCCTTAATAACAATATTTAGTTTTCGAGAATCCTTCTCCAATTTTTCTACCTTATCGCGCAGGATTTTAACTTCTGGTGAGACAAATGATCCATCACCTGCCTTGAAGAAGTTCAATTTACTCTCCAGGAGATTGAATTTTGTTTGTATCAAGGCTTTTACTTCATCATTGGAAGCTTTGTTCTTCGTTTCCTCTGTTTTTAATTTCTCCCAGGCCATTGCATCGTAGCTCAATGGCATTCTTGTACTCCGTGAATTCATTTCGTACAGCTCCCAGGCTGTCGCTGTAAGCCTTCGATGCATCTTGGATTATTTTCATCAGCTCGTTGAATTGATCGGCGGAAGCTTTACGCATTTACTCAATTTGGTTGGCAAGTGCCTCCATCTCGGCAGTTTCGTTAGCGGGTCGAGGAGCAGAGGAGATTCTCGTTATTTCAGACTCCAGGTTCCTGCATTTCGTAGCGACCGATTCAGGACTAGAATCTGACGATGAGGACTTGTTAACGGCTCCATCGTGAGATCTTTTTGTAAAGCAGAAATCATATAATGAGACTTGTTTCGCATAAGCAGGCTTCTTGGTCTTTGCTGCTGGTGTGCTTTTAAATGACCTGGTTATTGCCCTTGGCTGGAGTCGCTGTGGGCTCTGTGTTGACAGAGCTCATTCAAGATGGGACGGAGCTGGGCCTGGGCTCATCACATGTACAAATCCGCTTAACCTCACAAATAGTCAACTGAAACTCATAGTTCTACTAGGGATAGCAGTTATCACTGTTCACTGTTGTTTATTACGCCCGAGTGACTATGACAGAGAGCTAATAAGTTTTTGCAATGGCAGAAACACCAAATATCAATATTATGTAAAAAAAAACGAGTAAAGACAGCAGAGCTACTTGTTGAACGTATATGCACGAATCTGATGCGCGCGCAACCCGCACAAATAAATATGAAATACCATCATTGTATGTCTTTAGTGATCTCAACTCAACCAAATCAGCCTCCCATACATCATCAATGTTTGTCACTGTATAATGTAACCGTGGAAATTCACGTCTGATAGGTCTGTGGAGTGTATAAGTATTCTGGGCATTAAGCCAGTTTTTTATTTCATTTTCAGGTATTTCTTTTTTGTGCTTTGACAAAATATTTCTAGCCCCCGTATATGCCTCCGGCTCTGGAGGGCTAAAATATGTCCTCGATAGTTTTTCTTCGTTTAAAACGGAAGCCATGATGATAGTCCTGAGTCCTCCACTTTGTAAGGAGGGTTTATGTGTGCTTTTTTCAAGTTTTTACGCGTACGATGTACAAGAGACGTACGGGGTGTATCACCTTTCCCTGTATGACACTCATCTATAAAGTCCTCGTTCTCCGAAATTTCAGGTTCTTTTCGACATTTAATAACTGGTAGTCCAGGGGGGGTCGATGAAATTTAGGATTGCCCAGAAACTCCCGAGGTGTGTTTAGACTTTGAAGATACATCGCAAAATGTTCCCATCCTTTAGCTGAATGTTTTCCGTGCTCTGACCACATCTTGTATCAGATCCACAATATTAACGCCAGTTAATGATGTCCCATCCAAAGTCACTTGTCCTTTTGCATCCCACTTAAGTCTTTTATTAGTGTCAACGGCGTCAATATATTCAAGTATACCTGAGGCTTTTCTTTGATATACTGCAGGTACAGTAGCCACAATAGCAAATGGATCGTATCGTTCGCTAGACCCCGTCTCGTTGGGGGTCTCCGTTTCTTGCACAGGTACTTTACTCTGCTGTGTATAAAACAAATACCTTCTCAGAACGTCATTATACAATTTCCATTTTTCATGATCGTCCTTGGGTTTTGTCGAATTTAAAATTTCCAATAATTGAGCATCCAATCGACTTGTAACGGTACCAGGGGTTTAAGCTGACGGTTAAATTTCTTTAACTAATTCAGTTAAAACACGGTGAGCATCATGTGTAAAATTTTTTTTTAGCCGTTCCACTCTACCTTCTGGTACCAGTATCATTTTTCGTGCATGCTCCATCGCTATACAACTTCTGAGATGAGCGCACTTATAAGCGGTCCCAATAACATGGGTAAAAAGGCACCGCCTTTCTGATTGATGATTTTTTTCTTGCTGGATAAACTCTGATTTTTATCAGCCAACTTCTTCAAAAGTTTTTTATGTTTGCACAATTTTGACTTTTCGCAAGTT